AAAAAAAAAAGAAGCAGCAGCATCCTGGGAGAGGGGGATAGCAGCTGGACTGGGAGGTAGGGCGATATCACAACTTTTTTGGGAGGGCGGCAGGGGAGATGGGTTTGAACTCAGGGCTTTTCACTCACAAAGCAGGCACTCTACTGCTTGAGCCACACCCCCAGCCCATTTTGTTCTGGTGATTTTGGAGATGGGATCTCACTAACTATTTGCCTGAGCTGGCCTCAAACAGTGATCCTCCTGAGTTCAGCCTTCCAAGTAGCTAGGGTTACAGGCATGAGCCACCTGTGGCCAGCTTATGTCACAACTTTAAACCAAAGTGACAGGAAGACTCAAGGCTGACTCAGAGCCCAATATGGTCTGGTGTGCTCCTGGCTGATCTGCCAGGCTATCAAGTGAAGGATGGAGGTCTGGGAGCAGGGAGGCCAGGGAGAACACTGAAGTCATGAACCAGAGGGAGGCTCTTGGACTGAGAACGTTTCAGGGAAGGAGAAAAGGAAGTGGATAAAGGAGGTCATGTTGAGAAGAGAGGGTAAAGGACCAAACTTTTTTGTTGTTGAGGCAGCTATGGGCTTTGTAGCTCAGGCTGGTCTGGAACTTGAGATCCTCCTGCCTCAGCCTCCTGAGTGCTGGGATTACAAATGTACACCACAATGCCCAGTTTAGAGACCAAACTTGACGACAAGTGAACTGCAGGGGGTCAGGGTCATGAGGGTCTCCAAACTCCACACCTGTTCCTAGTTCAGGGGACCAACAGATGGGAGGTCTACCATCTCCCAAGCACTGTGGCCAAAGGAGGTGGGGGCACGGTGAGTGGGTGCAGGGCTGGTCTAGAGACAGAGATGGGAAGCAGGCAGGGTTCGGGGCGGAGACTGGGTTTAGAGGAGCAGTTGTGTTCTGTAAGCCCCCAGTATCTCACTTCTCCTGGGGAGTCTGGATGATGCTCCCAAGCACAGGCAGGGATCAGAGGCTCAGAGTGGGGCAAAAACATCTCAGGGTCACACAGCAAGCACGGAAGAACTTGGCCTAGAACTCAGGGGCTTGGAACTAGAGAAACTTACATCCTCATTATCACTGTCACTCTGTCCTTTTCCAAGAAGCTTGTGTCTCTCACAGCCCCCTCTCTGTTTTCCAGTTTCTGTGTCCAAATACCCTCTACCTCAGCACTCTGAGGCCAGTGAGGGGAGGCTGTATTGCATGGGGCGGGGAGAGTTTGGGGGGTAGTTTGCCAGGAAGGTCCCAGTCCAGACATGCCCATACATTCTCTTCCTCCCTTCCTCCCTCCCTCCCATTCCACTCCTTGGAAATGAGGCCTTCCTGTTGCTTAGCAACTAACTTTCCTTGGAGAAAAGAAATGGAAATAGCTCAAGAGGTACCTCCCTCTGTTAAGATAAAGGTCCTTGTGTGTGTGTGTGTGTGTGTGTGTCTGTCTGTCTGTCTGTTCTACTTTGGAGGTAAGAAACCCAGAGCCAGAGCTTCTTACCGCCAAGCCTTCTCCCACCCCACCCCACCCCCAGCCACCAAAGGACAAAGCTGCCTGGAAAGCTAGTGTCAATGTCACCTTTGGTCACATCATTAGAAGCAGTATTTCCAGAACAAAGGAGAGACCGGTCCTGTGGGCCTCGATCTGGGTGAGACCCTCACCCGAATGTTGGTTTTGGAGGACTTAAGCCAGTTCACACGGGAAACCGTACTGGGGTGGGAAGGGAGTGGAATTTGAAGAAGGTCCTATTTTCCATCTCTGCAGGACTTGCCCTGGGGGCAGACCGAGAGTTAGAAGCACCCGTAGTCTGTGACTCCACGACACAGAACCAGGACAATGGGCCTGGGGGGTGTGTTTGACCCGTTTAAACTGAATTTGAAGGAAAAGAATAAATAAAACTAACAGCATGCAAATCGCCACGGTTGGCTGGAGAGTTGCTGAGGAGCGCCAGCAGGGGGCGTGCTCGGGCATCCGCGCGCGGCGGCTGGTGGAAAGGTGGTGCCCAAGCAGTGACCAGGTCCCGAGTCCAAGCCACTGGCCCTTAGAGGCCAGCTAGTCCGGCCTGCAGCCACCCATCTTATGGAAATCCCAGTGTCCAACCCCGTCCATGCCCTGAGATGTGGCCCAAAGTTCCAAGCCCCTCACCTGCCCCCTCTGCAGCCTGAAAGGAAGCGGATTAGAGCCACTGCTGGGCCCTAAATCTCCAGGATTAACTCGCACAGAGATGAGTTTAGCAGGTGGCCAAGAAGTGACCATCCCGCCTCGGATCTGTGTCTGTCCCGCAGGGCCGGCGACAGAAACAAGCGCCTCCGAGACCAGACGCTATGTCCTCCACCGTGAACAACGGAGCTGCCAGCATGCCGTCCCCTCCCGACGCCGCGAACGGCTTCCCGCAGCCCGGCGCCTCTTCCGGGGCCTGGCCGCGGTCGGAGGAGGAGCTGCGCGCCGCCGAGCCGGGCCTGGTGAAGCGCGCGCACCGCGAGATCCTGGACCACGAGCGCAAGCGGCGCGTGGAGCTCAAGTGCATGGAGCTTCAAGAGATGATGGAGGAGCAGGGGTGAGGGGCGTGGCCGAGGGGCGTGAGGGGGCGGGGCTGGGCGTGGTTACGGTAGAGCGAAGTAGGTGGGGTCGAACGTGGCGAGGCTAGGGTGGGCGTGGTCTGGGCGGGGTTCTGACCACTGCACACACCGTCTCAGAATAGAAACAAACAATAACATTTGCCCCAAAACAAAAACAGGCAAGAAGAGTGGCTAAAGGATGCGTCAGGAGAAGACCAGGGCCTTCAGGAACTGAGGAGAGATTCTGAGAGGGGAGGGAAGGCATTTGAATGGACTCTGGAGGATGAGTAGGAGATTGTCACAGAGAAGAGGGGGTGGGGCAACCCTCAGTCTCTCAGTACATCCGTCAGTCAGTGAAGGCTTAGGGATACCTCCTCCCAATCCCCACATGTAGTGGGGACTGACGCAAAGGCACAGAACTTCCCATTTGAGTACTTTGAAATACAACCTAAGTCCAGCTGTCCTTCAAAACCACACGTTTTGTCCATCTGGCCTCCTGGGCTCCCCAAGAGGCAACCAAGACATGGGCCACCACCTCTGCAGAGCTCAGGGAGACACTGACACTCAGAGACAGCCACTTACTGAAGGCCATTAGGAAGACAGGGACAAGGATGAGTCTGGATCCAGCGATCAGACAGGGCTGCTTGGAGGGAGAAGAAAGGAACATAGGGACCTGGTGCTTACCTCCAACTGGGGACCAGACTGAGGTGAGGAGGCTCCCTGCAGAGAGAGGATGGCCCCATACAAGGATGATAAAGGCAACCAGAAAGGGAGGCATTAGCTGACAGTGAGATCGCTGGATGAGCTGTGGGTTTCGGATGAGGAGGTGGTGGAGAGTCGAGGATCCTCACCAGAAGGAAGCCTGGGACCTTCATGACACCTGAAAACCCTGCTGAGTTCAGACACTTGAGGAGTGAGGGGAATATGGCAGGCAAATGTGTTCAGAGAACAAGAGAGTAGACAGGCAGGGTTCCAGTGGTTCACGCCTGTAATCCTAGCTACTTGGGGCTGATATCAGGAGAATCATGGTTTGAGGCCAGACCAGACAAACAGTTTGAGAGACTCCTATCTCCAAAATAACCAGAGCAAAATGTACTTGAGGTGTGGTTCAAGTAGTAGAGTGCCTGCTTTGCAAGTGTGAAGCCCTGAGTTCAAACCACAGTCCCACCAGAAAAAAAAAAAAAGAGTATGGACAGGGGTCAGGTGCTGATGGTGGTGACTGATGCCTGTAATCCCAGCTACTCAGGAGGCAGAGATCAAGAGGATCGAGGTTTCAAGCCAGCCCAGGCAAATAATTTGAGAGACCTTATCTCAAAAAAAAAAAAAAAAGCCAAAAATCACACACAAAAAAAGAGCTGGTGGAGTGGCTCAAGGTGTAGGCCCTGAGTTCAAACCCTAAAACTGCAAAAAAAAAAAGAGGGTGGACAGGTTTTATTAAACCTTTTCCCATCCTGAGCCCTGCTCTCCTCATTCCACCCTTCCTCTTCACTGCACCTTCCCACCCTAGGAGCCTGCCACTCTACAGAACCCCATCCTTTCACTAAAACCCCCTAGGACCCCTTTATTTCTGAGTCCAAGCAGAGGGTGGCAGCACTCTTTCATGTCCTTGGTGTTAGATCCCCAACATCAAGGACCCCTGCCTCTCTGGAAGCACCCACTTGGTCTCCAGAGGTTCTGTTGGGGCCTCTTTGCCAACCCAAGATGCTTAGATTGGAATCTCCTCGAAAAGCAGATGCTGGAGTTACTCCCTGCTATCCCCTCCTGGCCTCAGCAGCAGTCTGATCAGTGAGGCACAGCCACTCTGAAACCCGGCCATCCAAGCTTCTTGACAGTCTGATCTTGACCAAGCCTGTTTTCTCCCTCCAGAATTGTTCCGAGGGCCCTAAGGACTAAGGCACAAACAGGGCAGTCCTCACAAAGTACTCCATTAACACTAAGGACCAGCTGGGCATGGAGGCTCATGCCTGTAATCTCAGCTACTCAGAAAGCCTAGGAAAGGAGGATGAGGCCCAAGGCTGGCCCTAGGCAAAAAGGGACCCTATCTGAGAAACTACTAAAGCAAAAAACAGGCTGGGGGCATGGCTCAAGTGACAGAGAATTTGCCTAGCAAGAGTGAAACCTTAGTTCCACTTAGTAAAAACAGTACTAAGCTGACCGCCGGTGGCTCACACCTGTAATCTTAGCTACTCAGAAGGCAGAGATCAGGAGGATCTCTGTTCGAAGCCAGCCCATGCAAATAGTTCAGGAGACCCTATCTTGAAAAAGCCCATCACAAAAATAGAGCTGGTGGAGTGGCTGAAGTGATAGAGTGCCTGCCTAGCAAGGGTGGGGCCCTAAATTCAAGCTCCAGTGCTGCCAAAAGAAACAAAAAAGTCCACTAGAGACCATTACTTTTTTGTAAAATCTAGTCATTAATACCCATTTCTAGAAACACTAGTGTGTTGGTATTTATTTTCCAAATCCTTTTGACATTTGACAAATATTCCCACCAATCACAGGAGCGCACACTCTTTGGCCCATTACAAAGCAATTCTTTTTCTTAATATGGATGATGGACGACTAATTCACCATGACTGAAGCTGCACTTGGAGTCACCTCAAGACTCCTGGGCAGCCTCTGCCCTCTGGCTGCCATTGCTGCAGGGGCCGGGGTGACAGGGTCCCAGCCTTGGTGATAAAATGCTTCCACCCCACCCCCAGATTCCCCACTCATCCCACCCATCTCTGCCATACCCTTTCTTTTGAAGACACAGTGGGGAGACAGTGTGGCTCAGCCCCCAGCTAGAAAAAGGAGCCTTGACCCTTCTCTCTCTGTTCTACTTGCTCATCTGTAAAATGGGAGTAAGGCTGCCACCCCCCTCAGAGGTATGGTGAAGAAAATGACTATACAGAAAGCACTGGGAGCTTGGTGTGATGGTGAATACCTGTGAATCCAGCACTCAGGAGGTTGAGGCTGGAGGTTTGCAAATTTGAGGCCAGGCTAGACCACATGCAGGTCCCAGTCAAAAAACATAAAAAAATTTAAAAAGCAAAGAAATCACAGGCAAAAGTAAACATTTTCCCTTCCAGAGACATTAATTTATTTTTTTGGCAGCACTGGGATTTGAACTCAGAGCCCCATGCTTATTAGGTAGGTGCTCTTACTGCTTGAGCCACTCCCCAGCTCCAGAGACGGTTTGAAGTGTGATGTGCTGACCCCTCACCCCATCCCTGCCTCAGAGAGCGGCCCAGGAAGTCCCTAAAGCCACAATGAATTCGGCAAGTCCTTCCCTCATGGCCTATAGTTGTGAAACAGGAACTGAAGGGGTCAGAAGGCTGGGGGACCATCAGAGCCAGGAGGCTGGCTGAGACATCATTGCCCTCCCTATCCCTTCCCCCCTTGACCTTGATCTTCAGACTTTGGTTATGCCAGCCAGGCCTCCTGGCCTAAAAGTGTCAGGGCAGGGTGGTTTGGGTACAGCCTCTTTCTCCATCTCAGCCTTGGCTTTCTGGAAAAGCAGAGAGAGAGGAGGCCCTGATGACTTCTGAGCTGGTGCCATACAGACATGGCCAGGTCTGGGGTGGAGAAAGGCAAGGAGCCTGGGCCCTCTGTTCCCACTGCTCTCTGAAAAACAAGGCTTAGCCATCGCCACTGACTGAGCATTTACTGGGTACTGGAAGTGTGTAGAGTGCTTCAAGTGCAGCACCTCCCTCACACCTCATGCCAGCCTTGCTGGGAAGGTCACATTCCTGTGTCACAGCCCAAAGCCTTTCCCAGGCCCAAAGCCTTTCCCAAGCAGCTGGGGAAGTGACCCAGCTCTTTGGCCATGTTCACCCCAGCACCACCTAGCTCAGGACCCCACACTGGTGGCCCAGCTAGCCTCTGTCTCCCCCCGAGAGTTCTGTGAATCAGGGGCTAGGCTGTCAAAGGACCTAAGCTGTGTTTGTCTCTGTGATGGTGACAATGACACCCTAAGGAGAAGGTGACATGAGAGCAGTTGCTCAGGGGAAGGCCACTACCCCTTTTTCTGGGCACTGGGACTGCCCAGCTAGCACAAGGCTCTGCACTGCCCAGCAAGCAGCCAGACCAAGGGTCTCCAAGGGAATGTCTGAGACTGTGGCCCAATGGGCGCTGAGGTGGCCAGGATGAGCAGGGCCCAGAGCCTGGGGAAGCTGGGTCAGAAGCCTCAGTATGGGTGGCCTGGGCCCCCATCTCTACCGTATCAGAACCCAGCCATCCCCATGGTGGGCTACACTGGAACCTGTACCTGCAGGATCAGAGGTCAGGAACAACTAAGAAGCAGCTGGCGCTCCTGATCCATTCCCGGGACAAAGCCATCAGTCCTCAAGTCTCCGCCGTTCTTCCTTCTGCATTTTCCCCAGTACCAGGAATTGAACTCAGGGCCTCTAGCTTGCTAGGCAGGCGCTCTACCACTTGAGCCACTCCCTCAGCCCTTTTGCTTTTAGTTTGTTTTTTCAGATAGGTTCTCAAGCTTTTTCCCTGTCTGGCCTCAATCCTCCTACCTCCACCTTCATAGTAGCTGGAATTACAGGTGTGTATGACCAGGTGGTGGTGGGGGGGGCTGGCTAAAAGTCTATTTCTGGGCTGGTGGAGTGGCTTGAGCAGTAAGAGTGACTGCTTAGCAAGCATGAGGACCTTAGTTCAAACACCAGTGCTGCAAAAAAAAAAAAAAAAAATCTATTTCTTCCCCTCCATCTCAGGACCACTTTCCTACTCTGACTCCACTTTCTCCTGTCTGAATCCCAACATCAGCCAACGCCAACCTCCCGAGTCTCTATCCCCCAACTCCACAACCACCAGAGGCAACTTTCCCAAGTGAAAACCCCACCTTCAAACTCTCGGCACCGGCTGGGTACCCGTGGCTCACACCTGTAATCCCAGCTACTCAGGAGGCAGAGACCAGGACAATACAGGTTGGAGGAAAGCCTCAGCAAATAGTTCTAAATACCCAACACAAAAAAGGGATGGCACAGTGACTCAAATGGTAGACCACCTGCCTAACAAATGTGAGGCCCTGAATTCAACCCCCAATATGGCCAAAGGGGGAAAAAAATTAAAAACCTTTCCAGTGCCACTCCATCACCAGCCACTCAATTATCAAAAAAATCTTTGGACTCCACAATGTGACGGCAGGATGCCAGGTACTGGGAACACCATAGCTAACCAAATAGACAAGGCCCCTGCCCTCAGGGAACTTGGAGCCAGCTCAGGATACAGACAAGCCAACAGATAATTACTAGAACACAAACCACCTGCCAGGATCCAGGAGGAGCAGGTTGCTATGGAAACACAAAGGTTGGCACTGAACCTGCTGTGGGGGGTATATAGTCTGCTGTCAACATCCAATAGTGCAGTCTTTGTGCTTTAGCCATGATTTTTCCCCACAGGGGAAACCTAGACATCATTTATGAGTCAAAGGATGTGTTTGGGTTTTTTAAGGCTTTTGAAAAGAATTGCCAAATGCCTCTCTTATGAATGTTTGATGAAGGAGTGGAGGAAAAGAGGAACAAGGAGAAGAGATGAGGTCCTCAAGAAGGAATGGCATACCATTTTCATGGATAGGCAGAGTGGGGAGGGCTGAGCCTGTTGTGGGTGGCAAGCAAGTGGCAGAGATGAGATAGGACCCCCTTCCTGTTCCTATACTGGTGCCATGTGCCATGTCTTCTGTCCAGGACAATGCATCACCTACAGCCCCAGCAGGACATAACCCAAGATTCATTCAGTCCATAGCAGTGGGCACCGGCTGTATTAGGGGAAAACGCTGCATGTACAAAGTCCCTTAAGGGGCCAGAGAGGAGACGCTGGAGGAGCTGGGAGGTCAGTTAGAGGGCATTACAACAGGCACCCAGGCACAGTGACCAGGGTGAGGAGTAGATAACTCTGTGCCTTGGTCCCTAGCCGGAGACTGGGCTCGGGGAGGGAGAGACAGTGTGGAGAAGTAAGGAGCTCCTATCTGAAGTGCAGAGCCAATGACACAGAAAAACAATGAATGAACCACTGGATCCCTGGGCAAGCCAATTGATGACCTTGACCTTGAGAGGCAGAAGTGGCCTGAGGAACTTCCAAGGCTATCATGAGGACCAGACATTAACAAGGCCAGGAAAGGAGAAAGGCATGACTGTTTCAAAACTAAGGTTCTCACTTCTCCCAAAAAGAACGTCTCAAGAGAGTGACTACAGCTTAGATACAGGTAACAGCCCCCCTCGGAGTGGATGACAGCAAGCAGGACAGGGACAGCCACACCTATGTCCTTTCTCCCCACCTCTGGGAACAAGTCTTCCTTTTAAAACTTTCTTTTGGTGGTACTGAGAATTGAACTCAGGACTTTGCACTTGCTAGGCAGGTGCTCTACTGCTTAAGCCACACCTACAGACCCTTTTGCTCTGGTTATTTTGGAAGTAAGGTCTCACTTTTTGTCCCATCTAGCCGAAAACCACAATCCTTACCATCTCAGCTTCCCATGTAGCTAGGAATGACAGGTGTGTACCACTACACCCAGACATTGGTTGAGAAGAGGATCTCACTAACTCCCTCCCCACCCCCCACCCCACCCCCCACCCCCGGCCTCCAACCATGATCCTCCCAATCTCAATCTCAGCCTCCCAAGTAGCTGAGATTACAGGTGTAAGCCACAGGTGCCTGGGTCCCTTTTTTGAGTTTTTATTTTTTTGTTTTTTGTTTTGTTTTGTTTGCTTACCCCAGGCTGGACTGGAACTTGCTATGTAACCCAGGTTGGCCTTGAACTCTTGATTCTCCTGCTTATTTCTTCATCAGTTGGCTTGTTTGGTAGATTGGGTTGGTTGGCTGAACTGGTACAAAAAAAATGGCCAGGCTTTGTGCTTCCTCAGTGCCAAGGGTCTGACTTGGTTCTGTGACCTCTGACAAGTTACAACAAGCTGAAGTGTGCTTTTGTGACCCAGGGCTGGGGGGACTGGTCTAGGCTGTGTAGGGGCAGGTAGAAGATTTGAAACCAGAATAGCAGCCCTTACAATCCCTGTGCCCTGCAGGTACTCAGAGGAGGAGATCCGGCAGAAGGTGGGGACCTTCCGGCAGATGCTGATGGAGAAGGAGGGAGTGCTCACCAGGGAGGACCGGTCTGGGGCCCACGTGTGAGTGTTCACTTGGGTAGGGGCAGGGGAGGGGTGCAGACTCAGCTGGGAACTACAGGGGCCCCATCAGGTGCTCAGGGCTGGGGTGAAGGAGAGGAGGGTGTGGGCTTTGCCCACAGGAAGCTGTAGCCTGGCCCAGGGCTCAGGCAGGGGCACCTGAGCCTTACCAAGGGCCTCCTGCTGCCATCCAGGCTGTCTGTGGCTCACCAGTGGGAGGGGTGAGGAAGACAGTCTAGAACTTAGCTCAGGGAATCCTGTAATGCAAACCAGGAAACTTCAGAAATGTTCTGACCCCAACGTTGTCACTGGCTGTTGTGACCCCAGGCAAGCTGCCCTGGGCCCTAGTCATTCCCACCTGTAAGATGGGTTCCAGAGTGAGCATGTGCTGTGGAAGATAGAAACTCATCCACACCTGGGGCTGGGCTACTGGAAGAGAGAGAGACAGAGAGAGAGAGAGAGGAGAGCGCGAGAGGAGAGTGCTCTAGGCACTGGTGGCTCACGCCTGTAATCCTAGCTACTCAGGAGGCAGAGGAGGATCGCTGTTCGAAGCCAACCTGGGCAAATAGTTCACAAGACCCTATCTTGAAAAACCCTTCACAAAAAAGGGCTGGTCGGAGTGGCTCAAGGTGAAAGCCCTGAGTTCAAACCTCAAAGGGAGAGGGAGAGGGAGAGGGAGAGGGCTGGGCACCTGGGACTCATGCCTGTTACTCCTAGCTTATCAGGCAATTTGAAGCCAACCCAGGGAAATACTTCTTGAAAAAACCCAACACAAAAATAGGGCTGGTAGAGTGGGCTCAGTGGTAGAGTGCCTGCCTAGCAAGTGTGAAGCTCTTTTTTATGTGAAGGGTTTTTTCAAGATAGGGTCTGTCCAACTATGTGCCCGAGCTGGCTTCTAACCTCGGTCCTCCTGCTCTCTGCCTCCTGAGTAGCTGGGATTATAGGCGTGGCCACTGACACCTACCCTTGAGAATAATAATGATGGTCCCCATGTCACAGGCTTGTTCTGAGCACTTGCTGATTAAATGAGAGAAATACATATAAAGTGCTTAGAATGTCACCTGGCACCTGGGTCAGTAATTACCATAATGGGTGCCGCATCACATCCTTGCTCAGCACTGTGAGGCTCTACAGGAGAGACCAGGCCTCCTTCGTCACCATCCCTACCCCAATCGGAGGCCCGTCACAGGTCTGGTTGAATAGATGAGCAGGAGGACAGACCCCTTGCCTGGAATCCCCTCTCCTTCTGGGCTCATTAATCTGTCAATTGTTGATTATGCTCCTAAGGGGAAGCAGAACCAGCTAATTAGCAAAAGTGCTGGCCTAAGGAAGTGTGTGTGACAGGCAGGGACTTCTGTCACGGTAGGGGATCCAGTATGTGTCTTCACCAGGCTCTGTGTCCTCCCACCTCAATATGTCTTTGTCCTCTACAGCAGACTGTCCGCATCTACTTTGGTCAACAATTTGAGACTTGTTGTCACAGTGGGATGACACCTTCCCTGCCCATTCCACAGACATGACCAGGTAGCAGTCATGAACTCCAGAGCATAAAGTGCTAAACAGATCTAGAACTCAGCCACAGGGCATCTTTAAAGTAGGGAACGGGGCTGGGGTGTGGCTCACTAGTACAACACTTAACTAGCATTTCAGAGGCCCTATGTACCATTCCCAGCACCACAAAAAGTAAAAACTAAAAAAATTAAAAATTAAAAAAAATAAGCTGGTGGCTCACGCCTATAATCCCAGCTACTCAGGAGGCAGAGATCAGGAGGATCAAGATTTGAAGCCAGCCTGGGCAAATAACTTGAGAGATCCTATCTTGAAAAAAACACCATCATGAAAATGGGTCGGTGGAGTAGCTGAAGGTGTAGGCCCTAAATTCAAACTCCAGTACCACCAAAAAAAAAAAAAAAATAATTAAAAAATAAAGTGGAGAAAGGATGCCTGGGCTGAAAGTTCTAACTCTGGCTAAGGTCTATGGGGGAACAAGGATTCTAAGTCAGTGGCATGGCCAAACTTAATCTTTGTTCAAAGGCACCAGTGCTATAGGGGCTGGGCTTTTCCTTCTCTGGGCCTCACTTTCCCCACCTGGAAAATGGAAGGCAGCTTCTCTAAGTCAGGAAGTGGCAAGGACTGGGTTTATGAACTGCAAAGTGCCATTAAGACGTTAGAAAGCATAGTTCTTAGTGATGCTATCATCTAGGAGAAGTGAGCCTAGGAGACCCCAGGCTCTAGTCCTGGGAAACCACCCCCATCCCACTGCCAAAGCAGATGCAGTGATACTATAAGCACAAAGCCAGCAAAGGCAGGTGGGGATGTGACTCAGTGGTAAACCACTTAGCATCTGTGAGGTCCTGGGTTCAATGCCCAGCACTGCAAGGTGGGGGGAAGGCGAACAGAGACAGAGAGAGAGAGAGAACAAAAGAGGCCTCAGTCCAAGTCTATTTCTGTCCCTAGAATTCCCAGGACAAGTCTTATCAGAAGATTCTGAGACTTGTGTCTCCCTCTAAACCTGCCTGCTACCAGCACCCTATTCCATTTCAATGCTCCCAGCAGGAAACATCCCAACTGACTCTCCGGGAGAGTAAGAGACACCAGCTGAACCTGGGGAGGTTTGGGTAAAAGAGGGTGGGGAGTTCTGTCTGAGACCAAAAAAAAGGGAGGAAAGATGTCCCTGGGGTTGCAGCCAGAAGAACAAGGAGGGCACCAAGGAGGAAGCAAGAGTGCCAGAGAGGGAGGGGATCCACGAGGGAGGAGATTCAGCTGAGGCACAACTCAGTGGCCAACCCAGCAGAGAAGTCAGAAGGGCAGATGGAGACTAGGGCATGGCAGAAGGGATAGAGAGCTTGTCTAGCATAGTGAGGGCCTGGAACAGAGGGAGGGAGGGGGGAAAGGAAAGAGGGAGGGAGGGAGGGAAAAGGAAGGAACTGGAGGAAGGGAGGGAGGAAGGAAGAAAGAAGGAACGGAGGAAGGAAGGGAGGAAAGGAAAAGGAGGGAGGGAGGGAAGTGAGGAAAGGAAGGAAGGGCACTTCTAGAAGGCCAGAATGGCTATTTTACTTTATAAATAATTTTCATCCTTTTCCAACTGACACTCCCCCCCCCACCTCTGGCTCACCCACACCCTATCTGTGCTGTCCTTACAAGCTGCTGTTTTGCTAAGGACTGTATTTTATGTGTCAGGCATTCGTGTGACTAAAGAGCTAGCTGTGTGTGGGGGGTGATGGGCTCTGGGAGGATAGGGGGCTGGACATGTCAGCAGAGGGAGTTGGAGATTCAGGGACAGGAGGGAAAAGCACACAAACTTCAGAAGGAAAAGTGTGGGGAAGAGCAGAGAGGTTTGAATGAAGGATGAGGGAGTGTTTGCCTCTGAGGGGGCAGGGGATGACATGAGTCTCTTCGCCCAGAAAAACCTCCCTAGTACTGTGTGACTCTAGTCAGAGCCATCCTGGTGCTCAGGAACTGGATGACATCGTTGAGATTGATCACAAGGCTAGCTCACCCTGTCATAGTTGTGTTACAACCTTTTTCTTTTAATGCAAAGTCAAATCAGTTTCCTATTACAGATTAGTAAATGCCCTGCTGGACATTTATCGCTGAAAACAAATTTTTTTTGGTAGTGCTAGAGCTCAAACCCAGGACCTTACCTACATCCCAGCCCTTGGTTTTTTGAGACACAGTCTTACTATGTAGCTCAAACTGACCTTGAACTCCCAATGTAGCCCACACTGGCCTAGAACTCATGATTCTCCTACGTCCAACTCCTGAGTGCTAGGATTACAGGCATGCACCACCACACCTGGCTTAAAACTCATCTTTTCCCCCATAACTGTGACCTGCCTCCCTTTGCTGACTCTTTTCTCCCCAGAAAAGGTGGTGGTGGTATTGTGAGTGCCAACAGAGGCCACCTGACTCATAACATCTACCAGATGTGGGATGACAGTCATGGCCAGTCATGCCATAGCTTCACAGAAAATCTTATTTAGTCCTCTGCTCAAAGCTGGGATATTCTTGCCTCAAGGCTTGGCTCACTTGGTCATGCTTGGATGCAAACCTGTCTGTGTGAATCCACAGCTGGTGGCCTTCCAAGCCCTGGCCTCTCTCCTCCTCACAGGGAAAGGCAAGACTGGTGCCAGTCCCCAGGAGCAAGGAGGGTACTGCTGAAGCCAAGGCACCTTCTGGGCCAGCATGGATGACAATAGAAGATGGGCACCCTGGAGCCCATTACCCTACAGCCAGGCCTCTGGAAGGTCACTTCTAGGCTTGTAAAACAAAGGAAGCTACCCAAGCACCTAATTCTCCCAACAGCTCTAACAGTTCTCTCTCAACTTGATCCTGAGGGCACTTTTTTTTCTTTCTTTTGTTTTTGGCAGCAAAGGGGTTTGAACCCAGGGCCTTGATGCAGGCACTCTTACTGCTTGAGCCACTCCACCAGTCTTTTTTTTTTTTTTTTTTTTGCAGTGCTGGGGTTTGAACTCAGGGTCTGTTCCTTGAGTCACTCCACCAGCCCTTTTTTGTGAAGGATTTTTTCAAGATAGGATCTCACAAACTACTGGCCTGGGGTTGGCTTTGAACTGTGATCCTCCTGATCTCTGCCTCCTGAGTAGCTAGGATTACAGGTATGAGCCACTGGTGCCTGACTCTCTCATCTTGAAAAAGAGGCTCAGAGAGGGACATGATAGGTGTCAGGTCACACAGCAGCTCAGAAGTAATGAGGGCTTGTCTGGGGCTGCTCTTGCTTTAGGCCCAGCTGCCGCTAGGAAAACAAACAAAAACCCCAAACCAAGCAGCACTTTGAGAGAAGAGCACATGGGGACAAACATCTGTGCAGAGGATAGCTAGTAGCTGGGTCAGGAGGTGGCTGGTCCCTGCTGAGTGCAGCGGGGACTTCTGAGATGGATGTGGAGGCTGGAGGCTGCAGAGTCTGAGGCACCCTCCCCCTTCCCGCATCCCCTGCCTCCAGCCATGATTGATGAAGACAGCGGGTGGCGCGGGAGTTGAGCAGAGGCTGCAGAGGGGAGGGCGGAGGGGTGGGGGGTGAGGAGAGGCTCTGAATATTTCAGAGGCTGAGGCCAGGGCTGGAGAAAAGGAGAGGAAGGGAAGGGGAGGGAAAGGAGAGCTTGGAAAGACACATGTGTGCGGGATAAGGGGGTTTAAAGCCGGGGCGGGGGTGGGGGTGGGGGGGTGGAAGGTTCTTTGAGGCAGTGGGGTTCAGTAGAGAAAGAGGGACTGGCATAGGGCAGTGGGGCTAAGGGACCCAGGGATGGACAGTGGGGCTCAGGAAGGGGCAGGGGTCCAATGAATAAGTTGGGGGATAAGAAGGGGAATCAGGAAGCAGGCTGCCTGAGAACGGGAGAGCTTAGAAGGGGTGCGCCTGGGTGCCCCGAGGAGGGAGGCTGGGGATCTGCAGGGGCAGCAGCCCAGCTGGGTTACTCGCATCTCGCCTCCCGGGCTGGGGAACTGTAGATCCCAACACCCCGCGAGTGCGGCGACCCCCACCCCTCCCCAGCTACACCCCGCAGTCTTGGTGGGGTGAATGGTCATTGTCCCTGTCGCCCTCAGCGTGGCAGAGACCCCGCGACCGACCGAGGGCGCCGAGCCGGGCCTGGAGTACGAGCCCTTGGACGACGATGAGGACGACGACGGCCCGGTGGACTGCGACTGCCCGGCCGCCTGCTACCGCGGACACCGGGGGTACAGGTGAGCGGCCGCCGCGGCGGGGGGACGGGAGCGCGGGGCCACCCCCTCACTGCCTCCGCCGCCCCTTCTCGCCCAGGACCAAGCACTGGTCCAGCAGCTCCGCGTCGCCCCCTCCCAAGAAGAAGAAGAAAAAGAAAGGCGGCCACCGGAGAAGCCGGTGAGAGCCAGACAGGGACCTAGGGGGAGGGAGGGTCACTGTCCTTGGGCCACAGGGGACACCCATGCTGCACGTGAGCCCCTCCCCACCAACTCTACTAAAGTGCCCTCCTCCATACTTCTCGCTTTCGCTAGGCCCCTCCCTTCATCGGCCCCCCCCTCCCGAATGGACACACTGATCAGCCCCAGTGTCCCCTGCCCCTCCCTCGCGCACGGGTCCCACACCCCATGGGAAGAGACCTTCACTGGGTCTCATTTGCTACTCATCTATCTCTATGCACCCCCTTCCCTGTCCTGAATGAGACTCTGAGGCCCCAACTAACCATGTCTACCATGTCTGTCCTTCCTCTCTGGCATCTACCTGCAGCAAAAAGAGGAGACTAGAGTCTGAGTGCAGGTCAGTGGTGAAGGTGACAGGTGGTGGGGCTGGGGCCCTGGTGAGGGTGTCTGTGGGAGGCAGAGACTCCAAGACCACCCCTCCAAAGCAGGAGGCCATGCCTAGCACCTCAGGGTCTCAACTCTGGATCCAGCCAACCCGCCACTGGAGCCTCTTGCAGTTATAAGCCTGGCTTACAATGCCAAGGGGCTTGGAAAGTTGACCGGGGGACAACACAGGAAGTGCCATCAATTCCCCTTGGGGACCTTGCCAACCCAATCCTTGGGCCTCCAGTCACTCTGTACAATGGGTTATTGGGCCTCATCTTGTGGCCAGGAACCCCTTCCCAGCTTCTGTACCCTGGGTCTCAGTCTTCTTTAGTCATTCCCAGCTGTGCCAGCCAGCTCACTAGAGCCCACCCCTGTGCCCACAGCTGTGGGAGCGCCTCACCCCTGCGTAAGAAGAAAAAGAATGTGAAGAAGCACCGAAGAGACAGGTACTGGCTGCCCCCTTCCTCTCCTGCAGCCTCTTCTCCCTGCCCTGGGCCCAGGACCTGGGCTGTGCCCATCAGTGTCCCCCAGGCCACCCCAGGCAAGCTCAGGAGGGCTCTTTATCACCCTACAGGTCTAATTCTGGGTCCCGGAGGAAGAGACGGCATAGGTAAGTGGGGCTCTGCAGAGTTCATGTACAGAGGCTGGTGGTCCCCTTCGGAAAGGGTTGGGAACTATTTCCCTGAGCCAGGTAGGGAAGGGAGGGGACGAGCTGCAGACCAACAGTTTGCACCCCTTGCCTGCCCAGGAGTCATCCTTGGCCTGGTGACCGCAAGAATTTGCAGACACACAGTGAGTCCAGTGTCCAAGAGGTGTAAGTGCGGAGGTGCCTGCGAAGGCAGAAGCCTCAGCACCCTGAGTTTGCAGGGAAAAGGATGGGGGAGCTGAAGGACCTCCTTGAGTGATTGAGCTGGGAGCCAGAAGAGGCTCTAAGCAGGACAGTGACTTATTCAGGACAGGGTGGGGGAGGGGAGCAGAGGAAAAAGGCCCAGACCTAGGTGAGATTGGCCAAGAGAAAGCTGTGGATACACGAAAGTAGAGCCCTCAGCATGGGGGAACAAAAGTTGGGGGCAATCATAAGGTTAGATTCAGAGCTAGACCCCCCTCCCAGTAGCCCCAAGGAAGAGCAGAGTCCCCAGTCTCTTTTCTGCAGTGGGAATTTGCCTGAAGTCACTCGCTAGGCAGGGGAGGAGACTAAATAAACACCTAATCCTGTCCCTCCAATTTCCCCAATTTCCCATCACCCCTCTGCCCCCCCAGTGCTTATGGGTCACTGAGGACCCCTTACTGCCCCCCAGTGGCCACCATCAGCTTGCACAGACCTTCTGGCCAGCAATCAAAAGTCCTGGAAAGGACCAGCTTCTGGGGGGTGACTCAGTAGCCAGGGTTCTAGAGCCCAAATCTTTGGCCTCATGGGCCTGCCCCAGAGAGCTATAAGGAATGGGATGGCAGCTTGTGGGGCAACCTTAGATAGGGACACAGAAGAATCACTCAAAAGCACAGAGGTAGTGCAGTGGTACACCTCTGTAATCCCAGCTTGGCAGGAGGTGGAGGTAGGAGGAGCTCCTCTGTCAGAGGCTGAAGCCAGCAAGCAAAAGTGCAAGACCCTATCTGAAAAATCAGACTAAAAGCAAAAGGACTAGGGGTCTAGTCTCCACTCAAGTGGTAGAATGCCTGCCTAGTAAACATGAGACCCTGAGTTCAATCCCTATGCTCCCCCAAAAGCATTTCTTTCCTTCTTTCCTGGTGAGCTGGCCCAGGGCTGGTCACAGCCTGCGTGGAGGAGACACAGGGTACAAATGAGGTGTAGAGGGGCCATCTCACCACAGCAGCTTATCAGGGGGGTCTGTCCCAATACTGACACCATAAGCAAGGGCAAATCTTTCTGTCCAGCCAGAACTGAGGCTACCAGATCTGGGGAAAAAAACAAAAAAAAACACCCCCACAGGATGTGATGGGCAGGTCCAAGAGGCTCAGGCTTGAC